ATGCTTTGTTGGTTGTCGTTCGTCTCGGCGAGTTGATTTCAGACGCGGAAGCCGTCATATGAGGCCGGTCGAAAGCGCGTTCAGAGTTCAGCGTGGTGTTTGACGTAGGTATAACGTGAAAATATGGAGAAACGGTGTGCATTTCGCTGGTGACCGACCGGGATATTGCCACGGAAGAGACAATCTGACCTACGTTGCTCGGACCTCGGATTGATTCGGATACCACTAGGATATAATTTAAGGCGACGTTTCTGTGCTCTCGTTGACCATCGGAATCTTCGAGGTTTGCAGTGAAGCGTGTGCAATATATTTGGATACACAGTTTAGCGACGGAAATTGCGTGAGTAGTGCTTGGCGGTGTGTAATCGCGGTGCAGCTTCGATCAAATGACCGAGGGCTCACTTCGGTTGTGCGGCGCACCGGAAGGCTGCCTTGAAGCTGGTAATTCCCGTGCCGTGCTGAATGATGCTGTGCTGCTTACAAATTGTTCCGGCGTAGAAGTGCACTTTCACGGAGCACAGGTGTGCGGCGCACCGAAGAGCTGCCTTCAAGCTGGTAGTTCCTGTGCCATGCTTTAGGTGATGCTGTGCTGCTTCCGAAATTGTTCCGGCGTAGACGTGCACTTTCACGGAGCACAGGTGTTGCAGTTGGTATTGATCCCGCTGGTCTGCCGCACGTTTCGTCAACACAAACGTTTCATCCACACTCGTTACGCGAATTGCAAGCTGTCCGGACATTTCACCGAGCGTGTTACGTACCCAGCTCACGCCGCTTTGTGGCAACAGTCTGCAGTGGCTCATTACCAGAAAAGTGGTCCCACATCCATTTCAGTTCAGTTCGTCCACGGCAGTCGCCAAACCCCGAAGGAGAGGATTTATTCGGACAGAATGCCACTAAAGCAATGCAGCTTCTTCAGTGGTCAGGATAGATTCTCTTCTGCTAGTTTTGTTATACTGTCACGGATCCTTGTTCCAGTCCTATCTTCTATCAATATTCACTATTCTGGGACAATGCAGGTCATGCTCAGCTGTAATCGTATGTTCAGGTGGAGGTGCTGGGCACTTTCCCCGTAGCCCTTCACTCTGTGTGAACCCGGCGGCTCTTCAGCCGAGTTACCCAATAATGGGACACGGCTGGCGGACTATTCTGCGTCTTATACCCCTGTCGAGCCGTAGGCAAAGTCCTGACCCGAGCCTGGCAGAACAACCGCAATACGACCGAGTACCACAAGGAGTAACCTTGGAAATACACCACGAAGCACCTGAAATCCGAGCCAGTTGCTGCTACCAGGAAAAACCACCAGAATTCGGTCTCCTGTCAGAAACTCCGAAGCTGACTAAGCCAACAATGACAAACCTGTAGCAGCAAACCGTGTCCCCTCCCACCATTGTTTGCATGCCCGTCGCAAATCACACTCCGACGCTTTTTCACGCAAGCTGTATGAAGACATCAAGGACTGGATTGAACAATATGACAGTGTCGCCCGCCACATTGAGTGGACAGACAACCAGCTCCTGCAGAACCTATACTTCTCGTGGAAGAAACTGCCGGCGCTGGTCTGAGAACCATGGATTCTCCTTAACGTCATGGGAAGTTTGCAAGATCAAGCTGAAGCGCGCATCCGTCAGCCAACATCAACGAAAGAGAGCCGCATTCTTGATTCTGTCCAGGACACTGCCCCAATGAGAGCGCCACCGCACTCGTGGAGGATGTTCTGTGCTTGATCAAGCGCCCACGCCCACGCCCACGCCGGCCTTGATGCTACAGAAGACAAGAACCTAAGAATCCCATGCGCCTCACATGAGGGACAACACCTTCGGCAGCCTTGTCCGCAACCCCCAACAACAGTCGAAGTGTTCATATCACTGAGGCTTCCAACATGGAATGTGCACTGCATGCCCGAGCCTGCCACTATGAACAACTTCCCGGCGTCTCGACACTCGAGTTGTCCAGCTACTATTTCGACGCCAGCCTCCCAGGCATCCACGACATCACCCACGACGTTGTCTGGGAGGAGATCAGGACGCTACTTCCTGCCATCAGTTGCCCGGCTTTTATTTTGATTGCCGAGATTGTTTCGGAACAAGTTTGACAGGTATTTCAACCGAGGCTTCTGCGAGCGAAGCGGCATCTGACAAACCAAGGGCAACTTACGCCACAATGGCACGACGACCGCCACCGGCTGCCCCTTAGTATTCAATGCCAATTCAATGAGACACTCTAACGCCGAAGCATTCTTGACATCGTGTGTAGGTCTGTGCTCAACAAAGTACACCGAGGAAAACGTAGGTGATGCGAATGTGCGACCGAAAACCACTTTGCTACCACTGCATGAAGCCAACCATGTCTACCAAAGCAGCCCGTACTAATGAATTGGTCGGCGAGGGTTCGTGCCAAACGACCCTCGATTACGTCTCAAGGAGCGACCACGGGAGATTAAGGATTACCTTCGGCGATCTTTGTCCCTGATGCCGAAGGTGCTGAATCGAAGATTCTGAATCCCTGATTACCCCAAAGCTCCTCATGTCCATCACCTCAACAAGAGGTAAGCACGACAAAGCAGGTGAGCGGCGATGCAGTGACAGTGGATTTGGTGTCGGTTGTCGTCCAAGGACAATACCTAAAAATTTGCTGACACCAATTTTCTGTGTCCACTCCACGAAGCACACAATTTCCAACTTTGATGGAGAATGCCCCTGAGTGACTTGAAGGAATAAAATGGTTGGTTGCCCTCAAAAGTGAACTGCAAGCATCACCAGACTTGGATAGCAAACAAAAATTGTTGCCAGCTTTCAAGTCAACGGTACAGCGAAAGGCACAGCCATGTAAGCAATACATGCCCGAGCTTGCTACATTGATGCCGAAAACTACCAGGAAAATTTTCGGATTAGAAGCCAGCCCTGCAGCTTCAGTGCACATGACGTATGATTACAAGACAGCATCAGTCGGTCAAAGTTGCTACTCGACCAAACTGAACACCGACGTGCCAGGAGCGTCATCCGACAACAAGGTCCACAGGTACTACGTCTGAACGCCTGACACGAGACTGTCGCAGAAAGAACTCGTTATGGAACCATTTACTAAGAATCAATAATTATATAATCAAGTGGAAATAAACATATTCGATACACTAACCAGATAAACATATTTCCGCTTGCCTTCATGCCTTGAGAGTCTACACACCAAAAATTGTGTCCATTTCACGCTCTGGACCTTACGAGGACACTCGCTTCTCTGACTCTTCAATATTAATTAAGGGGTCATACCAGACTGGCAGACTTCTTGCAAGGGGCTGCACTCGTTCAACCTTTCCTGAACATGTGGTGCATCCGAAAACCAACTGCAGTGATGTGAAAATGTTATTCATTAATTTATTCCTTCCAGGGGCCTTCGTAGGCATTGCAGAGAGGATACTTAAAACTACACACATGATAATAGCATTAAAGCACACTGCTGTAACTTGTCAATTGGAAAAACAAACACACCTCTGAGCATATAGCTTAATAGTATGTGTCGATGCATTGTTATATAGCATGACACTTCCTATATGTATGACACAATAGACCCTTTGCAGAACCTTTTCAGGCAACACAACCGTCACCATTTTTTTCGGCGCAAAGCACACGAATGGGCCCCAGTTCATGTCGAACGCCAATGCAGCATTCGAGTCCAATAGTTGCTGAGCCGAATTCACAGGGATGGCGGACATAACATTCTTGTCGAACAAATACCCAAAGTATGAAAGCCTGGGGTAATTACAGTAGTAGCTACTGTAATTTGTTTCATCAGAATTCGGCAGACGGCAAAGGCTACGGTCTCGGTGAGTCAATACACACATTGGAGAGAGGCACATGACAGCATATCACCAGAGTGCTCGTCTGCACAGATCTGTCACACACCTTCGCTCCGTCTCTCTGATTGCCTCGAGGGGGCTGTGGCGGTTGGCCTTTTCCAAGTTACGGTGATGCGAAGTATAGACAGCCCACACTTTTAAAAAGAGTTTATTGAAGAGGCCGAAAGGAATGGTAGTCAACATTTTTCAACAAGACTGCTCTCCAGGCAAGGGATGAACACAAATATGAATCATCTTATCCAGGTAATTAGAACAATTAAATAATTGACCGACTAATACAATGCACTCTTGATGGAAAAGAGTATAGCTGCAATAAATCCTACAAAACAGAAAAAATGCGCAGTTAATTTATGCATGCACCAAAACAGTTGTTCTTATAGCAAGTCGAATAGCTTTGAAGCAGGTGCCTGCAACGATTTATTCTTCCCCATACTCAATAAAACGCCAACCTCGTAGCTGAAAATAAGGGTGCACTTCGCACTCACACACACAAAAAAAAAAAGGGAAGAAAAGCGATCGAATGTAGAGTCGTGGATTAGCACAAAAGGTTAAAATCGCAGGAGGTTCCTCGCTAAAAGTTGCTATGGTTGTTCGGTGACGGAGGGCTGAAACAACTTCCCTTAGGCCCTAACGCGACGTATACATTTCGCGTAGATTCTCAGATATTTCAACGTTCAAACAAAGCTAAGAGAATGCGAAAATTTCATGTTAAAAGCACTCAAAGTTCTATCGATCCTCGGACACATCCCGGAATCCAAGCACCGGTACGGCGATGCACAGCTGATGTTGTCTCACAGGCGTTAATATCCAGATGATCCAGAGCGATCTTGCGCAAAAACGGTATAAAGTCTCATTCCTTCATATTTTCACATTATACCTGCGTCAGCGAGCACGAAGAAGCCCGAAGTCGTCGGAAAGCAGCTGCACATCACGGCTACCGCGCACCGAACAAACTCGCATCCGCCAGCTCTGGGCGCTGCCATCTTGCCTGTGACGTCACGGCTCTTGGGAGGTCACGTGACGAGTGGTCACATTTGCGTAAAATATGGCGGCAACCGGGGGGGTGCCACTTCCGAACTTCCGGTTTATCACTCTAAGCCCCTCTACCTCGTTGCTCACACCGCCTTTTGTTTTTCCTCCACGCCAGGTTTCACTGCGTCGCGAATATGAAGCCTGCATCCACGCTGCCCTCCTAGCGGACGACTCCGCGCCACCACCACTGGTGCTCAAACTCAACACGAAAGAGTTTTTTTAATTGCATGCGGAACAATAACGTACGTCAATGGTCGAAGTGTGCAATTTTATGTATTGTGTCATTGTGAAAATAATGAAAGTCACCACTGCTGTTGCAAGATTTTAAATGAAACCCATTTTTTTATTTTTTTTAAGCCAGTATCTGTCCTGTTCAATAAATGTCCTGAACCAGATTTTGTTGGTCTGCATTGGTGTGTTTTGAATGAATGCGATTACTTTAGGAGAGTGTGAAAGTCTGTGGTTTACCTACTCCCCAGCCGGCCTCTCACGAGGCTTACAAAGGAGGCATGTTTTTAGTTTGCGATTCGGGCGAGATGTTTGTACTCCGACATGGGGCTAAACTGCCATTGTGCTGTACACTAGTCTACGGCAAATGCAAAATATCTCCAGGCAACGTTCACTCCGGTGACTTGAGCTAAATATAACGGAAAAATCTTTCTCGCTACATTTAGCGTGAACATTTCCCAGCTAAATGTAGAGGGAAAATGTTCCCGCTATCTTTAGCGTGGGAACGCACCATAATGCAAAACGCGCAATTACGCCGACGGCGCCACCGCTCAAGTCGGAAACGATCACTTAAAAGCTGCGCTCTAAAAACAACTTTATTTTGATTGACGGTCAAGTTTAAATAATCATATTTGGCTCAGAGTATGAGCTTTTACATTTCTATACCTTTAATTAAAGCACTAGATCTCTTATTGCTAGAATGATGATTACACTCTTTTGGAAAAAGAGTTTCTTCAATATCAGTACATTAAATATCTTTGAGAGTAAACTCTATTCGGGCTAGAACACCATAGAAGTTCAGCTTTCACGTGGAGGAGGCTATATATATGTCTAAGTATCGAAAAGTCTGCCCTGATTGAACACAAAACTGACTAACACCATCATTTTGTTTATAGAAAGTCACGGGGGTTTGTCTGCTTTGTATTTCGATGATGCTTGCCCCGCCCATTCTTGCTGATGTTGGTTTGTGTATTGCAAGCATACCGAATTCCTCACTCCTTTCACAATCCACATGCTGACAACAAAATGACACTCGAAGAAAGCATTGTCAGCTCGGACTCACTCAGCAAAACCGTGCAGGAGATTGGGTGAAAGCGGAAGGCACCACTATGCACTTAGTGCCTTTTAGTTGCCACCACCACCAGTAAAATCAAATGGAGTGGTGTAGAAACTTCAAACAGGTTTTTCGCAGTTTCACTTTTTTGCAGCAACTTTCGTTTTAGAAAATGTGTTATTTCAACGATTCACCGAACGTATTCTCCGCTGTGGATGTTTCGGAGCCGAAATTTAGTGAGGAATGCGGCTAGATGTTTATTTTTCTATTTAAATGAAGTTTCTATTGCCAAAACGTCGTCTTAATGAGGAGAAAAAGCCCCGTTTTGTGGAATGCTTTTCAAATTGACATTTTGCATAAAAAAGACTGATTTTACGGTAACATATAGATAGCCGCACCCGCCATGTGTTGCAGGGGGGAAGAGGGAAAGGGAAATTGGCTCAACCAACACCTCCTAGGAATAAGGCCGTAGCGCTCCGAGTGGGTACCTCACAACCTCGGAGGCAGGAAGGCCATGGCGCAACTACGTGAAAGAAGTTCTGCTGTCGACGCATATCGACGTGAAAAAAATATTTTTTCTCGGGCGGCGCGGTAACCTTCGTGTACGTTTATTCGATATTAATACACGTTTTAAAAACGCAGTCTTGTACAATTTCTTACATATATAATATAAACGTAATATACAACGCCTTACCAAGGTTTAAAGGGAAAGGAACCGAAAAAAAATTACACCATCTTTCCGAGGGGAACCATGGGGTGATGCGGAGCATCGCGGATCGTTATTAACGGTGTTATTAACGGTGTTAGGAACGTTGTTGAACTTCACGGTCCCAAACCTCAGGTTCTGCTGCTCGACGTTCACGAACCAACGCGGCTTCCCGTTCTCGAAGGTCGGGTTCCGCCGCTCGCTTCGTGCGTTTACGTTCAACTTCACGGTCCCGAACCTCAGGTTCTGCTGCTCGACGTTCACGAACCAACGCGGCTTCCCGTTCTCGAAGTTCGGGTTCCGCCGCTCGCTTCGTACGTTTACGTTCAACTTCACGGTCCCGAACCTCAGGTTCTCCTGCTCGACGTTCACGAACCAACGCGGCTTCCCGTTCTCGACGGTCGGGTTCCGCCGCTCGCTTCGTGCGTTTACGTTCTACTTCACGGTCCCGAACCTCAGGTTCTGCTGCTCGACGTTCACGAACCAACGCGGCTTCCCGTTCTCAAAGGTCGGGTTCCGCCGCTCGCTTCGTACGTTTACGTTCAACTTCACGGTCCCGAACCTCAGGTTCTGCTGCTCGACGTTCACGAACCAACGCGGCTTCCCGTTCTCGAAGGTCGGCTTCCGCCGCTCGCTTCGTACGTTTACGTTCAACTTCACGGTCCCGAACCTCAGGTTCTGCTGCTCGACGTTCACGAACCAACGCGGCTTCCCGTTCTCGAAGTTCGGGTTCCGCCGCTCGCTTCGTACGTTTACGTTCAACTTCACGGTCCCGAACCTCAGGTTCTGCTGCTCGACGTTCACGAACCAAAGCGGCTTCCCGTTCTCGACGGTCGGGTGCCGCCGCTCGCTTCGTACGTTTACGTTCAACTTCACGGTCCCGAACCTCAGGTTCTCCTGCTCGACGTTCACGAACCAACGCGGCTTCCCGTTCTCGAAGTTCGGGTTCCGCCGCTCGCTTCGTACGTTTACGTTCAACTTCACGGTCCCGAACCTCAGGTTCTGCTGCTCGACGTTCACGAACCAACGCGGCTTCCCGTTCTCAAAGGTCGGGTTCCGCCGCTCGCTTCGTACGTTTACGTTCAACTTCACGGTCCCGAACCTCAGGTTCTGCTGCTCGACGTTCACGAACCAACGCGGCTTCCCGTTCTCAAAGGTCGGGTTCCGCCGCTCGCTTCGTACGTTTACGTTCAACTTCACGGTCCCGAACCTCAGGTTCTGCTGCTCGACGTTCACGAACCAACGCGGCTTCCCGTTCTCGAAGTTCGGGTTCCGCCGCTCGCTTCGTACGTTTACGTTCAACTTCACGGTCCCGAACCTCAGGTTCTGCTGCTCGACGTTCACGAACCAACGCGGCTTCCCGTTCTCGAAGTTCGGGTTCCGCCGCTCGCTTCGTACGTTTACGTTCAACTTCACGGTCCCGAACCTCAGGTTCTGCTGCTCGACGTTCACGAACCAACGCGGCTTCCCGTTCTCAAAGGTCGGGTTCCGCCGCTCGCTTCGTACGTTTACGTTCAACTTCACGGTCCCGAACCTCAGGTTCTGCTGCTCGACGTTCACGAACCAACGCGGCTTCCCGTTCTCGAAGTTCGGGTTCCGCCGCTCGCTTCGTACGTTTACGTTCAACTTCACGGTCCCGAACCTCAGGTTCTGCTGCTCGACGTTCACGAACCAACGCGGCTTCCCGTTCTCAAAGGTCGGGTTCCGCCGCTCGCTTCGTACGTTTACGTTCAACTTCACGGTCCCGAACCTCAGGTTCTGCTGCTCGACGTTCACGAACCAACGCGGCTTCCCGTTCTCAAAGGTCGGGTTCCGCCGCTCGCTTCGTACGTTTACGTTCAACTTCACGGTCCCGAACCTCAGGTTCTGCTGCTCGACGTTCACGAACCAACGCGGCTTCCCGTTCTCAAAGGTCGGGTTCCGCCGCTCGCTTCGTACGTTTACGTTCAACTTCACGGTTCCGAACCTCAGGTTCTGCTGCTCGACGTTCACGAACCAACGCGGCTTCCCGTTCTCGAAGTTCGGGTTCCGCCGCTCGCTTCGTACGTTTACGTTCAACTTCACGGTCCCGAACCTCAGGTTCTGCTGCTCGACGTTCACGAACCAACGCGGCTTCCCGTTCTCGAAGTTCGGGTTCCGCCGCTCGCTTCGTACGTTTACGTTCAACTTCACGGTCCCGAACCTCAGGTTCTGCTGCTCGACGTTCACGAACCAACGCGGCTTCCCGTTCTCAAAGGTCGGGTTCCGCCGCTCGCTTCGTACGTTTACGTTCAACTTCACGGTCCCGAACCTCAGGTTCTGCTGCTCGACGTTCACGAACCAACGCGGCTTCCCGTTCTCGACGTTCGGGTTCCGCCGCTCGCTTCGTACGTTTACGTTCAACTTCACGGTCCCGAACCTCAGGTTCTCCTGCTCGACGTTCACAAACCAACGCGGCTTCCCGTTCTCGACGGTCGGGTTCCGCCGCTCGCTTCGTGCGTTTACGTTCAACTTCGCGGTCCCGAACCTCAGGTTCTGCTGCTCGACGTTCACGAACCAACGCGGCTTCCCGTTCTCAAAGGTCGGGTTCCGCCGCTCGCTTCGTACGTTTACGTTCAACTTCACGAACCGAACCTCAGGTTCTGCTGCTCGACGTTCACGAACCAACGCGGCTTCCCGTTCTCGAAGGTCGGGTTCCGCCGCTCGCTTCGTACGTTTACGTTCAACTTCACGGTCCCGAACCTCAGGTTCTGCTGCTCGACGTTCACGAACCAACGCGGCTTCCCGTTCTCGAAGTTCGGGTTCCGCCGCTCGCTTCGTACGTTTACGTTCAACTTCACGGTCCCGAACCTCAGGTTCTCCTGCTCGACGTTCACGAACCAACGCGGCTTCCCGTTCTCGACGGTCGGGTTCCGCCGCTCGCTTCGTGCGTTTACGTTCTACTTCACGGTCCCGAACCTCAGGTTCTGCTGCTCGACGTTCACGAACCAACGCGGCTTCCCGTTCTCAAAGGTCGGGTTCCGCCGCTCGCTTCGTACGTTTACGTTCAACTTCACGGTCCCGAACCTCAGGTTCTGCTGCTCGACGTTCACGAACCAACGCGGCTTCCCGTTCTCGAAGGTCGGCTTCCGCCGCTCGCTTCGTACGTTTGCGTTCAACTTCACGATCCCGAACCTCAGGTTCTGCTGCTCGACGTTCACGAACCAACGCGGCTTCCCGTTCTCGAAGGTCGGGTTCCGCCGCTCGCTTCGTACGTTTACGTTCAACTTCACGGTCCCGAACCTCAGGTTCTGCTGCTCGACGTTCACGAACCAACGCGGCTTCCCGTTCTCGAAGGTCGGGTGCCGCCGCTCGCTTCGTACGTTTACGTTCAACTTCACGGTCCCGAACCTCAGGTTCTGCTGCTCGACGTTCACGAACCAACGCGG